CCACCCATCTGTGAGGATCCACCCTCCCTGACTGAGGTCAAGGGGGCGATCTCCAAGCTGAAGAGTGGTAAAGCAGCAGGTGTTTGTGGCATCCCAGCTGAATTGTTAAAGGCTGGTGGAGAACCTATGGCAAGGGGCTTGCATGCAGTCCTGTCTGCCATCTGGCAGACCGGTACCATTCCCCCAGACCTGCTGAGGGGTGTGGTCATCCCTCTCTGGAAGGGGAAAGGGGATCGGTGGGACTGCAGTAATCACCGAGTCATTACACTACTCAGTGTACCAGGCAAGGTACTTGCGCACATCTCACTGAGACGTATCAGATATGCTGAGGCACCAAAGGCCGGAGCAATCTGGATTCACTCCTGGTAAGTCCACAATAGACCGCATCCTGGCGCTTCGAGTCATTGTAGACCGCCGTCGTGAGTTCGGGTGTGGGCTGCTCACAGCCTACATCGACCTCAAAAAGGCGTTTGATATGGTGCATCGCGAATCACTCTGGGAGATCCTGAGGCTAAGAGAAATTCCAACAAGGATTATTGGACTAATAGCAAACCTGTATACAGGCACTAAAAGTGCTGTAAAGTGTGGTGGGGGCCTGTCGAGCTTCTTTCCTGTTAGTTCAGGCATGAGGCAAGGCTGTGTTCTTGCACCAACACTTTTCAACACTTGCATGGATTGGATACTGGGTAGAGCTACTGTCCAAAGTCACTGTGGAGCAGCTCTGGGCAATATCGAGGTTACTGACCATGAAATTGCTGATGATGTTGCCATTCTTTCTGAATCTCTGGAAACCCTAGTGGCGGCTCTTGATGCATTTAGCAATGAAGCGAAGCCCCTGGGGCTAGAGGTCTTCTGGACAAAGACCAAGATCCAGGATTTTAGGGGTCTACTAGGAGACCCTGTGCAATCGGTACATGCTTGTGGTGAAAACATCGAAGTCACTGAGAGCTTTATATACCTCGGTAGTGCAGTTCATGACTCTGAGCTGTCAGAACAGGAAGTCAGTAGACGGATTGGCCTGGCAGCAGGGGTCATGAAATCTCTTGACAAGAGTATTTGGAGATGCCGGTACCTGTGCAGAAGGACCAAGCTACGTGTTTTCAAAGCCCTGATACTGCCAGTTTTGCTATATGGTAGTGAAACCTGGACGCTATCTTGTGCTCTGGAATCTCGTCTTGATGCCTTTTGTAACAGATCCTTGCATCGGATCATGGGGTGCAGTTGGTGGGACCATGTGTCCAACCAACGGCTACACCGGGAGACCGGTACAGGACCTGTTACTTGCACAATCCGTGATTGCCAACTCAGGCCACTTGGCCTGAGTTGATGATTTAAGATGATGATTTAAGGGGTAATTCCCCCTCCCGCAAGACTGTTTGCTGCCCTCAAAGGCCACATTTTAAAAATTGTTTATAATGAATTACACTTATAAGATTGTGGCTTAAAAATGCATCCAGAATAGCTCATTTATCTTAAATTTTGTTTCCTTCTCTCACCTTTGCTTCACTTAACCCCTCATCAAGAAAAAGCTGTTTAATGTTCCTCAAAATTAGAGTCATTAGAGAGATGGAGAGAGAGGGTTTAATGACCTCTCCCCTCTACTTTCCCCTCGACTTCCCACGGCACCCTGGAGCCTACTGGTAATCGACTGTGCCAAGTTTGACCTGCGCCCAGAAAGGAACGACAATAATGAAGTTCCCCCAGAGCAAGCGATTCCGACCCTTACCGTCGAATACTTTATAACTACAAATGTACTTATATCTTGATTATACTCAAAATGTTTGTTAAAAAATCCTTATTCTCAATCACTGTGTTTGTAATTATTATTGATGATATTTTAGTTATCTATTGTTCACGACTTGTTTTGTCATATCCAGTGTCCCTGACCCAACATGTGACCACAGGACCCCTACCCTGCTATAAAACAGAGAACCTGTACTGACATTTCCCACGAAAGAACAATGTTGCCATATTCTTATGTTTAGTGAATATTCTGTGAAGCATTCAAAATCTCAGAGAGACGAAGTCACTCTGCCCTCAGCATCGGCTCGGGCAACACCTCAAGCTCTCTCTGACCGCTTCGCCTCGCGGGCGTGGCAAGAGGCCTCGCTCCTCCTTGGGCGACTCTGCCACGCCTGACCTCTGTACACCACCTACCATATCCCGTGTTAATAAAAGTGCTTGACACTGCGACAACTTTAACTTCAACACCACTTCACATCAAGAAGAAAACACGAGTACCATACAGAGTAAGGATAAGTCCACAAATGTGTCATTACAGAGAGAGAGAGAGAGAGAGAGAGAGAGAGAGAGAGAGAGAGAGAGAGAGAGAGAGAGAGAGAGAGAGCATGAGAGACAGAGACAGAGAGAGAATGAGAGGCCAGATTTTAAAACTTTTTAATAAATTAGACTTATAAGGCTGGATTGCGGCTTAAAATGCCTCTAGAACAGCTAATTTTTCTTAATTTTCGTTTTCTTCACTTGCCCCCTCACCAAGAAAAAGCTGTTTAATGTTCCACAAAACTAGAGTCATATCGGGAATATTTAAACTTGAAATTCACTTAACATTTACAAAGCATAAAGATGACATTAAGGATATGGAGTACTGCCTTCCTCTAGGACGGCAGTACGTTCTGTCTGTTACAGGAAAAACTTATCCTACGTAAGGAAAGAGGAAAGGACAATTACAAGAGAGGTAATTATAGAAGCCTTAAAGATTTCTTTTATGGCATAAACTGGGAAACCTTCGTGAACGAAGAGAACCTTGACATGCAACATTTTAATTTTCCGAAGTCTATAAAGAAGGAGTAGAAAAAAATGTATCAAGATTCAAAACTTAAGCAAGAAATGGCCAAAAGTGGTTTCATGATAAATGCAAGAAAATGAGAGAAAACAAACAACTCCTTTGGAAAAGTTTTAGAAGACATTGATCTCAGGCAGCGTATGAAAGCAATATAGTAAGAAGAAATGAGTATACCCAAACCATGAGGAAGGCGAAATTAGACTTTGAAAAGGATACAATCACTAAATGTACTAACCAACCAAAGCTCTTCTTTAACTACATAAATAGTAAGACTAAAAGTCTAAATCAAATTAGCGCCATCAAAGACAATAAGCATCGTTTATACTAAAAAAGTGGAAATGTGTGAAATCCTTAATGAGACATTTCAGTCAGTGTTTGTTCTAGACTTAAACTTTGAAATGACAAGTAACCGTACAAATGTAAATTAGATTATCGAAAATATCACACTCGAAAATAATTAAATGAAAGACCTACTGAAAGGGTTAGAAAAGACAATAGGGACCAGATGAGAGATCTAACTGGGTTCTGAAAGAATGCCCCTAAGAATTATGTATTCCGTTATTGTTAATATTCCAAAATTCAGTGTGGCAAGGAAAACTTCCAAAAGATTGGAAACTTGCCAATATTACACCTTTATACAAGAACGGCGACAAACAAAACCCTCTAAATTATAGACCAGTTTCGTTAAGTAGTGTAGTATGCAAGCTGTTGGAAAGAATAATTAGGAAACAGTGAATTTAAATACTTGAAAAACACGATATGATATCAAATAAACAATTTGGTTTTAGGAAAGGAAAATCAACTGTAGCAAATCTCTTTAAGAAGCAGTGGCGTAGCCAGAACGGGAAGATTGGGGGGCAAACAGGTAAGAAAAATAGCAGGGGGTCTGGGAATCTTCCCCCGGAAAAAATTAAGACCACGCCCCTTAGAATGCTGGAAAACGGCTCTTTTTAGATGGCTTATAATGAGCTATGCCATTTGTGCAATAAAATTTGTAGGGGGGCCCCCAACAAATTTTATTGCAGATTTGCACTTTTCTCAGAGACCAACTTTCTGAGCATTGGGGGGCGGCTGCCCCCCCCTTGCCCCCCCCTCGCTACGCTACTGTTAAGAAGGCCTTCTTGAAAGACTATTAAGGAAATCATAACACTTAGGTGGAGTGAAAAGCAAACTCCTCGAATGGGTGGAAGACTTTCTTCATGAAAGACAGACGAGAACCGTGATTAGATGACGACGAGTAACTGGCGGAGTACCTCAAGGACCAGTCTTAGCACCGATTATGGTTACTCTTTTCATGAAAGATTAAGGGTCAAACATAAGCCCAGGTAGCTAAATGAATATTTTTGCAGACAACGCGAAATTGCAAAAAAAAAAAGGATAATAGACGATGTCTCATGCAAATACCTCCAAAGTGACACCGAAAATTTATTCATTTGGAGTTGTACATGGAAAATAGAATTTAACACCAATAAATGCCATGGAGTCAGGTTCGGAGAAAGTAAAAATCGTTCAGGATACCAGTACAAGTTAGGAGACGTAATATTAAACAAAACAATAAAAAAAAAACGGAACCTAAGCCCAAATGATCATATAAATGACAAGGTTCATAAAATGCTAGGGCTGATTGCCAATGTGAAATTGGACCAAGACTTGGTAAAGAAGGTGATTACAGCCATCATAAGACATACTCTTGAGTATGGTGCAGTGGCATGGAGTCCACACTAGATTTAGATAAACTAGAAAGAATTGAAAGGGCAGCCACAAGAGGGCACCTACTCTAAGAGAGTGGAGCTACGAAGAAAGACTGCAGAAAATAAGCCTTACTACTTTGGAAGAAAGAAGAAAAAGAGGTGACATGATAATGATGTTCAACAATATTACAGGAAGGGTGAAGTTAGACAAGGATGACTTTATAATTTTGAACACAAATTATACGACAATTTATTTATATAAGACGTGATCATCTGAGTTTATCTCTTTTCCTTAGTGAAACAATTAAGAAAGAACACACACACGCACACACAAGCACGCGGTGAAACGATTATTTATGCATCTGCTCTTAATCTATCTACACATTCATCTATGCATATTTATGAAACGTAATAAACTCAACAGTCTACTGTGGCCTGTCGTATTTAATTAAACAGCTCTGTAGTTGGCATTTAGGAATAAATGCAAAACTTCCTCTTCAAGAAAACTTATTGTAAAAAGTTCTTCGGCTCAGGTCAGAAAAAAATATTATTGAAGACTTTAGGGGTATTTCAAAAACACGCAATCGTTGCATTAGCAGTCACCAAATACGACCTTCTTGAGAAAAGGGAATTCGTCGTCAAAATCCCGGAAAATCGTCTGCTTCCCGCTGTGCGTCAACCGAGAGACATAAGTTTGTGGAAATTTGGTTGACCTATTACCTAGTGATATTTCACCGTGATATTTCAGTACGAGGTATACAGCCACTTCTAAGTCGAATTATTTTATTTACGTTGATCAGTAAAGATTAGAATATCCAACTCGAAAAGTTTTCAGATTGCGACCATGGAGTCGTTCTCGGAGCCTGTTTGTTAAGTGAGAAGGGAAACAACAAAATTCTAAAAGGAATCATAACTCTCTATGGAATTAATGCTAGGAGGGAAAGGTAAGAAAAGCTTCAGTAAGAAGTCCGGGTAGTGCTGACAGGTGAAGATGAGGAGAACTTTATCTTGAAACGAGATTAAATTCGTAGTTGCATTCCGCAAGAAGGTATATTTGTACTTTTGTACTATTTGTATCATACATTTTGGTCTTGTTGGATGAGGGAAAAATATTACTTTGGGTCAATATGTAGTATAAGGTAGTGGCAGAGTTGGGTAATAAAACCTACATGAAATGATAGAGCAATACAAACCAAGACAAAGTTCTTCTATGGCAATATGTGTGTAAATGCTTCCCAAGGCTGCTATACATAAAAGAAAAGAAGATCCCCCAGTCAGTATGTAGAAGAGGATAGTGGCTTACTTTTGAAACAAAATTTTTATATTTTTCTGCATGAAATCCACTGCTTTCAACGATTCTAGGCATTGTTCCTTGTGCAAATGAATCGTTGAAGTGATATGGTCATCATCTCCATCGATAATCTTGATTTGATGGAAGGACATGAAGTATATCGGGGAAATTATGGGGTAAAACAGGATCCCCGTGATTGTTAAACAAAATGTCCTAACTCAGCATCCAACTTAACCTAACACAGTGGTATATATTCCCTAGTCAGGGGACTCTGCCCCCTGGACCCCTGTGGTAGTATATGCGTCTAGAATTCACCCTCGCAATGTAAACAAGATGAGTGACTTCATCAAAATGGGGGATCTTCACTTTTCTTTTATGTATAGCATCTTTGGGAGGCATTTGTACACGTAGAAGAACATTGTCTTGGTTTGTATAGCTCTATCATTTCATATAGGTTTTATAACCCAACTCTGCCACTACCTTATCCTACATATTGTCCATTTTTCAAACCAACCAAAACTGTGTTGAGTGAATATCAACTTTTAGAGTAAAATGAAATAATCTGATCTTATGGACAGTGAACTTAATGCAGAAGACTGTGTCAGTCCCGTACATGGATCATGGTAACCTAATCCCGTACATGGATCATGGTAACCAAACAGAGAGAACAAGCAAAGAATTAGAAAGTTTGGTCAGTATCTAGAAGTGGGTAGTGGGTTGCTTTCGAAACAATGTTGATATTTTCCAGCATGAAATCCACTGCTTTCAGTGATTCTTGTTCCTTCTGCAAATGAATCCTTGAGATGTGATCACCATCTCCATCAATAATCTTGATTTGATGGAAGGACATGAAGTATATCGGGGAAATTATGGGGTAAAACAGGACCCCCGTGGTTGTTAAACAAAATGTCCTAACTCAGCATCCAACTTAACCTAACACAGTGGTATATATTCCCTAGCCAGGGGCTCTGCCCCCTGGACCCCTGTGGTAGTATATGCGTCTAGAATTCACCCTCGCAATGTAAACAAGATGAGTGACTTCATCAAAATGGGGGATCTTCACTTTTCTTTTATGTATAGCATCTTTGGGAGGCATTTGTACACGTAGAAGAACATTGTCTTGGTTTGTATACAAACCAACCAAAACTGTGTTGAGTGAATATCAACTTTTAGAGTAAAATGAAATAATCTGATCTTATGGACAGTGAACTTAATGCAGAAGACTGTGTCAGTCCCGTACATGGATCATGGTAACCAAACAGAGAGAACAAGCAAAGAATTAGAAAGTTTGGTCAGTATCTAGAAGTGGGTAGTGGGTTGCTTTCGAAACAATGTTGATATTTTCCAGCATGAAATCCACTGCTTTCAGTGATTCTTGTTCCTTCTGCAAATGAATCCTTGAGATGTGATCACCATCTCCATCAATAATCTTGATTTGATAGTCCCAATAGCAGGGGAGGGCATGAAGTATATCAGGGAAATTATGTGGTAAAACAGGACCCCCGTGGTTGTTAAACAAAATGTCCTAATCCAACATCCAACCTAACCTAATGGTATATATTCCCTAGCCAGGGGCTCTGCCCCCTGGACCTCAGTGGTAGTATATGCACCTTGCCAGGGGCTAAGCCTCCTGGACCCCTTTGGTAATATATACACCTAGCCAGGGGGCTAGCTATGCCTAGCTAGGGTGCTATGCCTTCTGGACCCCCATGGTAGTATATTCTATCATTTCATCTACCTCTGCCTTATATTATATATTGTCCAAAAGTTATAACAAAGAAAATCCATATTCAAGACAACCATAAGACAAAGAAGCAGGACAAAAAACACTGGAAGAACCACAACCAAGAATAAGCAATAATTGACAACAGAAATGGAGGTAAGAAAAGAAGATCAAGAAATAATCATTTGATTATTAGATGAATTTGCAACCACTAATTTTAACAACCCATTGAAATTAACCAAATCAGAATTCCAAAAATACATAATTGAAGATTCTCTAAAAGGGCAGTCACCCTTGTCTATTCTGTCCAGGGATCTCTTTACAGAGTAGGATGCTTCCTCAGCTGTAAAGGGATCTGTCATGAAAATTGTAGAGTGGTACTGAGTGAAAGCCGTTGTTGGTGTTTTGCCTCCTACCAGAGAGGGAAATATGATGCCAAAACAAAAACTGGGTTAATATTTATGGTACAGATGCACTAATCTAGGGCAAATTGAAGATGACATTCTTATAGGATATAAAGTTACAGTTGTTGGTACAAGAAATAATCTGCAGAAACGAACAATAACACAATAAAGAAAGGAAAAAGATTGCGGAACGTGCCGCTCACAGCTCTAAGTCCACTCGGTGCTCACAAGTTTCAGCTCTATCTTGCCATGCATACTGAGGTGAAGACACCGTTTCCTGGGGGATGCCTGGGGTGCAGAGCCCCCACCAATCCTCCCCTCGGGCAGTGCCCGAAGAACATACCTAGTCATGTCAACTTTGATTTTTTTATTAATTTTTGTGACATGACAAGTATGTCCATGCTGTAAAGAATTACCAAAAACTGTAGTATAATTACTAGGAAGCTTTTGACTTGACTATCTAAATAGGGATTATTATAACATGTTAGATACATTTGTACTGTAGATGTAAGTAATATATATCATAACAAACAATTATGCCTCATTAAATTTGAAATAGTATCCTAGTATCCAGACAAAAATGTTCATTTATTCAAAGAATGCAAACACACATCCGCCCGACACACTGAAGACATGAAGCTCTTTTCAGATATTAATTATTCCCTGATGGACATTGTTTGAGCCATAGAACAATTATGGAATACTATCCACAGATATCATAAAAGCAAGGAGTTGAAAATAACAATAATGGATAAGATGAACAAGAAACTTTGCTTTGCACCGAGTACAATCACAGGACTGACAAGGTTTTTTATCAATCCAGAATTATGTCTTGTACATTACAGATTACACTAATAGAGGTATATACTGTTGTGAAAAATATTGTCAAATTATATATTTATGCTTTAATATGGGTTATCAGGGTTACCTGCATGATTGTATGAGGTATGATAATAAAATGAGTGGATTGGCTTTTCTATGGTGCCTTCTTTCTTTATTTGAGGTATAATAATAAAATGAGTGGATTGGCTTTTCTATGGTGCCTTCTTTCTTTATTTTTTTCAGTCAATATGAGATGATATTCATGGAATCCATGATTATCTTTGATGCATAGTTCATCCATGTTATTGTAGACACTTCTGTCTTTTCTGGGGCCATGTTTCTCTATGGGGGACACTGTGCATAGTGTTAACAATCCCTCTCTGTAGCTGACAGACAGATGTGACTGTCTAATGATCCTTGGACAGAGAAGACTGGAATTACTGGTGCTTAACCCAATGTCACAGGAACAATGATGTGCTCATTTTAGATTTTTTGTGAAATGTCTCTGCACATAGATAGTTCTGGAAGTGTTTAGCTACAAAGGAGTCATTTAGTAGACCTTGTGTCCTTACCTGATTTCACCTTTCCTTGATTTTTTTTTTTTTTTTTTTTTTTTTTTTTTTACTAATACAATCAATATCAATGGTGCTATTTTTATTATAGACATTATAATTACTATAATGTTTTTGATATTAGTAACAGCAATATAAGATAATATAAGATGTTTTTGAAAATCAAGAAAAAATGGAAACAGGTGAGACTTAGTACAAGTTAAGCCATCTATCTAAAACAATTAATAAAGCTAATAAAGCTCCAGATTCATTCCCTCCTGACATTTTTCCTGATACTTCACAACCTTCCAGTGTTCCCTCATCTCATCCACTGGATTCTTCTCTTACCTTTCCAACTCCCCCGCCCCCTGATCTCTTGCTTGTTGATGTGGGGGCTCAGAAGATGGAGACTGGGGCTCAATGCAAGGCATTACTCCTACCTTGGACCTCAGCCCTTGCCCCAACTAATTTTCCACATTCTCTTCTTTTCCCCCTTTCCTTTTTTCTTCTTTTAACTCCTTCCCGACGGATGACGCTGATAGGCGTGAAAACAAACTGCTTGAAAAGTGGTGTGCGGTTGTACGCGGCAGCGGCGCGCCAAAGCGCAGCGAGCCAGTGATTCAGGCTGATGTATCGAACTCACACACTCAAAGTCGGCGTGCCATCATAGTTTGCCAGAGCGTAGAGTTTGTTTTATTTGTTTTCTTCACCCGTCACCATTGGGTTAATCTTCCCCTTTTTCTGTCCACTTCCTAAGGTGCGAGAGCCATGCTGAAAGAATGAAAGCTGGCTTTGTGTCAGGCATTGAACAGCCCTAACTTCTCATGGGGACCCTGAGGGGTAGACCATTTTTTTCCCCATTTATTTCAGGGGAATAAGGCTTGCCTCTCCTTCAACTAGCCTACCTGAATATGATTTCATTGATTTTCCAACCCCTGCCTCTCCTTTGAACATACTTCTGACCACTGATACTACCCCCCCCCCCCCCTTTTGATGTTTGCTGTGAACTCTATCCATTCCAAAGTATCCACCGTGGTCATTACTCAACCTTCAGATTACACCCCTCCCTCTCTCCCAACATCCTCCTCTCCATCTCCTACACCCCCTCTTATTACTACTCATCATCCATATTGTTCTCTCCCCATACCACCCCATCTTCCTCGTACCCTTGTCCTTTTACTGCTTCCATCTCAGCAAACCTTTTGAGTACGCTTTTTGGGATCATTTATTTGTGATTTCCCCTGCAGCCCCATAATACAATACCCTTCTCTTCCAACAGGGTCTCAAAAAAACAGTAGGCAACTTTTCCTTTTCCAGTCATTCCAATCGTTCACACCTTGTCACAGTTACATCTTAGTCACAAGCTTGTGCAATATCTACCCTGGCTGACCTCACTGGCACACCTTTTCCTGCCCAACCTCACTCCTTCCTTTATACTTGTACGGTACTGGAACTGATTCTGTCTCTCTGACTGATATTCCTCTCTATGACAAGGAATGGTCAAACTGTGAAAACTATCTTGTTGACTATGATGCAGTAGCAAGATTACCTTCCGTAGACATGATTTCCCATATGAAGTTCATATTGGTGGAGTGTCCTTACCAGTCTGACCATATCAACCCCTTTCCTGTCAATGTCTGAAATGTTGACATTTTAGCTACCCAGCCATACACTGTCACTTTCCTCATCCATGTGCATCACCATTCCCACCTTGATGCTCATGTTACTCCCTTATGTTACTCCCTTATGTTACAACAATGTCCTTCTCTGGATCCCTCACCTGACATTCTTCCCAATAATATACCACCTTCTCCTGTTCCCTTATCTAATTCTCTGGATTCTTCTCCTACTTCTACAACTACCATTTCTACCTGTATTTCCCTTTGTTTCATAATGGCTCTTTTGCAGTTTTCCTCATACAGTGTTACAAGTTCCCTTCCTCACACATACCCTCCATTTGATCTGATCACTGTATACCTTTAACCTCATTCTCTTTTAAAAATTCTCACTATATTCCATTTGCTCCCCGTCTATACCCTTTTCACTACCATTCTATCCTACAGTATCCTACAACCTTAGACGTCTAATACATTTTATCCTGATCATTCATTCATTGCCACCCTTATTGATACAAACTAGATTCTTTGAATTGGGAAGCATTTAGAGATTTTATTAGCATTTTATAAGATGTACATAAAACAAAAAATAGAATATAGTATCACTGTGTATGGAGCCGCAAAATATACAGTACAGATAGTCCCCTACTTAAGAACATTCTACTTATGAACATTCCATACATACAAACAAAATTTTTAAAGTACTAAAGTCCAAAAAATTGTTTTAAAGATGCTAGCAAACTTTAAATTTCCCGGGTGCGAATATAGTTCAAGATTCTGGTACTGTATAAGGTATGTCGTACTTATTGGGATTTATTTGCAGGTATTCTTAATGTAAACAAAACTTTAAAACAATGGGAAAAAAGGTAATGGAGACCTGACTTTGGACGTACAAACAAATCAACTTAGAAACAGCCTCTCGGTCCCCATTATGTTCTTAAGTTGGGGACTTACTGTACTTAAAAGAACTAGAAACCTCACAAAATCATATAATAAGACTAGTATCTAGGCATTTAAGATCAGCTGCAATCATAGCCCTCCAAGCATTAACTAACAAGCTGAATAAAAGAACTTGTCAGAAATCTTACATAAACCAGATAAATGTCAATAAAACAACCCTCCTAAACACAATCCCTTACTCATTGTTGTCGTAGAGGGGGGCTTAGGAAATGGAGACTGAGGCCCAATGTAGGGGGTCCCTGTGCCTTGTTCCTCAGACCTTGCCTCAACTAATTTTGCATGGTCTTTTTTTTCTCCTCCTTTCCCTTTCCTTTTCTTCATCACCTTCTTCTGTCCACTTATCCTAACAGTTAAATCATTTTTACCTATTTTGCCACAATACTTTATCATAATGCTATATGACCTTTGATGTCAGGTACATTTATTTGTTTTGACTATTAACCATTTTCGAAATCCACAAACATTGCCTTATTGAACCAAAAAACTTCCTTATCTAGGGGCTTTGCCCCAAGCTTCACCCCATCACTAAAATGGAAAATGTTGCTGATGACCTTAGTTGCTGATGCGACGGAAGTTTTTTCATTAAGTAAATAACTGAGTCAATAAAATTCCATAAATGAATATAACTAATAAATAAATGATTACTAATACACATAGTTCTTGAAACAAGTACAAACTTAGACTTAGATATAACCTAAAATGTAATACCAAATTCATCCGCAATATCTCATGGTATAAAGAATCACAGACAAATAAACTCTATGGACAATTTCAAAAAGAATACTCCTCAAATTACCATTCATTGACAATACCAAGAATTAAGAAATACTACCTATGAAAACTTCAATAAGATTTTCAGATTGTTCAAAGATAAAAGAACAAGAATTAACTTTAATAACAGTTCTTATTCAGAATAAAAATATATTTGGGGATCACCCCCCAAAATACAAATCACTCATGCAGAAATATTTGCCATAAAACAGGGACTGAAGCATATCATTATCAACAAACGAAAGCAAAAACATAGTGGACTACAGTGAATTGCTGAATTAGCTGCAAAGAAGCCCCCCCCAATCTCTTGCTCATGTTATGGGGGGGGGGGGGCTTAGGAGATAGAGACAAGCCCAGTGTGAGGACCACCCCTACCCTACCTTGCCTCAACTAATTTTGCATGGTCTTTTCTTCTCCCTCTTTCCTTTTCCTTCACTTCTTCATCCCCTTCATCTTTCCACTTAACCTAATCGTCAACTCATTTCTACACTTTTCATCACAATACTTAATCAAAGTGCTATATTATCTTTGGTGCTTCCACTGTGGATAATTTGAGAGGAGAGAGTTCCTTATTTGGCAGAAAATTGATAGGGAGGTCCACAAACCAAGTAAAAAAAAGTTGGCATCTGTAACCATAAAAGGTTTTAAAAGTCATAAAGGTTTTTATGGATTATTATCTGTGTTGAAGCATTTTCTTAAATATGTTTATCTATTTTGATGTGCTTTGAGGTTTTTACCGGTAACGTTAAATACATTATAACTGCAACAGCTTTCTAGTTGATCCCCCCCCCAATCCCTTGCCCGTTGTTGTCGTGGGGGGGCTTAGGAGGCGGAGACTGGGACCCAATGATGGGGAACTCCCCAACCTTGGGACTCAGCCCTCGACTCAACTAATTATGCATGATCTTTTTTTTTCCCTTCCCACTTTTGTTTCTGTCCCTTCACCAAACCCTTCTGCTATCCACCTCCTAAGGTGTGAGAGCCGTGCTGAAAGGATGAAAGGCTGACTTTGTGCCAGTCCTGAACGGCCTGAGGGAGCCATGGGCACGGTATTCCCCTGATTTAGTTATCTAGCCCTTACCCCTCAAGGGGACCCTGAGGGGTGGACTGCTTTTATCCCCAACATAATCCAGGCTTCCCATGGCCAGTAATGAAAATATATCCCCACTGTTAGGGGCAATGAGGCTTGCCCCTTTATCAAATAGCCCCAACGAAGTAAACCCACCCGATTCCCCGACCCCAGGCTCTCCTTTGACCACGGCTCCAAACACTGCAATAACTACCCCTTCACCAATGCCTACTAGTACAGTAGCCAACAATCAACCCTCAAGGAACATTTCCACTCTCCCAGCATGCCCAACTTCAACACCTCTACCCCCACAACCTCCAACATCAACCACCCCATCCTCCCTTATTAATACCTTACAGCCTTATAGCCCACCTCTCCATAACACTACCTCCATCAACACTACTCCATCTTCGTCACGCCCTCGCCCTTCTACCACCCCTATCTCTAAAACAATCTTGAATACTCTCTTCAGTGCAGCCAAATGGGACCGATTTTTCGTGATCCCTCCCACAGCTCCCTACTCTGACAACACCCTTCTCTTCCAACAATGCCTCCAAAAACAAGTAGGTAAAGTCTCTTTCCGTAGCCGACCCGACCGCTCCTGTCTTGTAACAGTAACATCCGAAAACCAAGCCATAGCATTAACAAAACTAACTGACCTATATGGTAACCCCATCCTAGCAGAACCCCATCCAACCCTCAATACTTGCACCGGAACAGTCTCAATCTCACCAACAAATTGCCCAATCTATGACAAAGATTGGTCAGATTGTGGAGAAGATCTACTTGCCTGTCTCACAGACTACGATGCAACATCAGTACAATGCTATTCCATCCCCCCCAGAGGTCATCGAAAGAAACCCACTAACATAGCCAAAATTACCTTCCATAGACATGACCTACCCTTTAACATCTACATAGGAGGAGAATCCCTCCCTGTTCGTCCATACCAACCTCCTCCACGTCAGTGCCAAAATTGTTGGCGTCTAGGACACCCAGCCAAACACTGCCGTTCCACAGCCAGATGCCCATTATGTGCCCAACCTGGCCATACCCGATCTAACTGCTGTGCACAATCACGCACATGTGCCAACTGTGGCGGCCCCCATAATGTATTTTATAGGGCTGT